AAAGCAATGCATTATCGAGGTTCCAATGAAAGGGTCATCACGCCAAATAGCTATAACTCATTTGCACGAACCAGAGCAGCATACAGTTACTGCCAACATCTGACAGCAATTTCCACAAACAGGGACATTGCCTGAGGACTGGTGGTCACCAATAGACGTGGTCAGTTTCACGTGGACACAACGCCATACTCGGTCCTGATCGATCAATCGATACGTTCAATACAGATAGGAATGAAAATACATCGATCTAATGAAATGATATGAGACTCTGACATTAGTGGAAAGGCAATCTGTTGGAATCAGGAAGTCATTTAAGTAGTGATAGTCGTCCATCGAGAAGTGAGAGATATATTTGTCGGACGCAAATGTTGACCATTGGCTCAGAGGGGCAACGTTCCGAGTCATCAGTACAAAATACTCTTTACATTTTGATTGGGATTTCCTATCGCTAGATGTCTACTTGAACCGCACTCGTGTAGCTGGTGCTTGTGTCAATAGTGTGTGGTTTGCTCAAGGCTCAAGTTCAAGCGACGGAGTGAGTGAGTGAGTGAGTTTGGTTGAGCACTGCTTTGAACGCCGTTTCACTTGTATTAGTGGTAGGAAAGCCAAAACATAACGCGGGCAAGAGAGGTGTGGCACTTCGGTGAAACCCATAAACATGGGGATGGTACTAACACCAGAGGAGCCTGAAACCAGAATCTGAAATTCATACCCACGAATAATTGATTCCTTTACGTTAAAGAACAATCTCCCCCTCGTGCCTCATCAGCTGATAGAGAGAAAGGATACACTGCCTTACAAGAGATGGGGTTATCCCTTCAAGGTAGACAGAGGTTCCAAATGGGAAAGATTCTAGGCTGCTGAGGACGATCGACTCAGTGTCAGGCCATATTTCACATACGGCAGTTTTACTGCTTGTTTTTTTTTATTATTCTGGATAAAATCTATCTTTACTGCAACATCAAAAGTGATCTTCATCATCGTCATGAGACATCAGACATATATTAAGGGCAAAACCACCTCGTGGGTATTCCGGATCAGAACTAGTCACCATCAAACCATGCATGTCGTAAGAAGCGTCTGAATGGATCGGGTGTTCAGGGTGGCCAGGCGTCTACCCGACAACGTGGAACATTGACCGATATCACTCACCCGTTTGTCTCATCCCGAATCCATTATTTAAGGCTACCGTTATATAAGCTGATATACTGAGTGTGGCGCTAAAAGGCAAACAAACAAACAAACACACAAACACAGGAATAACAATGTCCCCGTGTACGTCATGGTATGCAACACCTGCTGTAGACCCAGATGGTAGATCTTCAGTACACTATAATCACATACACAGTCTTCTAAATTTCTCCCTTAATCTGCAACCACCCAATTCGCGAGTTCGATTTTAACGGACCACCAAACAGATTATACAGCAAAGGAATTCGAGACGTATAATTTTCTGGATAAAAGGTAATTGTGTCTCTTTCCTTATTCCCAAACGCATACTCAAAGGTATCGTCTGTTCCTGCATCGTATCGTCTACTTCCGTTCACCATCCTTTCGCCGATTGCGTTCGGTTGTACATCTAACCACGGACACATCCTAGTCCTTGGAGAATCACTAATACCTATTTGGATTCGATAGAAGATGTGATTAACAATCTCGCTGGATGCACTGACGTTTGCGGGGGTTGAGTGTTCAAACTGGATGAATGTCATTGAACTCAAATGATGTCCTTCAGAATAAACATCCATTAAGGCAAAAAGTCATTATCGGGTACGGTCGGGACGGACATCATCAGCTTCATCGTCAAATAAAACTCCAACCAGAACCTTTCAGATTTTCATCGACAACTTTAGCAATCAACGAGAAACGTGACACCATTAAAGTACTTCTCTCCGAGGTGACCTACTCAAATTAATTCCTTAATTCCAAACAGTCGACATTTCTAAATCTGACCCAATCACCCTTAATGGGGGTACCAGATTTCTGAATTACAACACTGACACAAATTCGTTCACAACCTGATTAGATTTGTAAATCAGAAACACGTTTGGGTGAATTTCAATTCCACATCCGAGATGGAGGAACGTGTGCCACTTAGCGCAATCAGGAAGTACGTGCATCACAGGGTTTCTGTTCCACATCACTCTCCCGCATTTGACTAAAATATGTGGTTAATAAGCAACCACCTTCCATAAATTATTAAAATTAATCGGTATCATTACATAACAAATCCATTATCCATCCGGTTTCTTATGCTCCTATCTACAGTACTGTAAAAGATAGAGTTCGATCACAACATCTTTCTGTAGTCATCATGGGAGCACCAAGCACAATGTATCTGCATCTCCTCGATCAGATCAATACTCTTTGGCACCGTTCCATCTCAAGGTATGGAACTTCAACTTCAAAATCGTTCAGAATTCTAATGTCCACGACACCATTCAATTACAAACACAGGTCAAGAATATTTTAGGATTTTGATCTGTTGAATAAGTCTTTGTCCATGATGAGAAAAAGATATGTAGAAAGGTCTTACATATTGAAGAAGTTACATGCAGATACACAACTTGGCGTCACTATGACAACCCAGCAGTGAATATAATGTCACTGCGCCACTATATAAAGGCTGCACGCAAGGATCCGCTCCCAACACCTACAGTTATAATGCTATTTTGATTACAATGTAACCAGCTACTGTTACACATGTTACAAATTACAGTCTCCGGTCTGTGCCTTCTCAACCTTAAGCCGTCTGCGATAGGAGTAACGATTAATCCTTATGTATGACAATAGCACTATCCAGGTTTGGGTCTGGAGGCAAGTTTAGTGTTTGCCAGAACATGGTCATCGCTATGTCCCTGTCACATACGACACATGGATGCGTAGACGTGAGTCACTACAGGTTATGGGAGCTGAAACCGGTAACGCTATTTTAAGAATTTGCAAGAAGGGCCTATTTACCTTAACATAAAAGCTCGGCAATGAACTTTCAGCTAATATTTGTTGTATTATTTTGTCAACAGTCTTATGCCTTCCGCAAACTTTCCAGCAAACAAGTGTTGAGTTTTTGCTTTTGTAACAACAACCAGCATTGTAATTAAATTTAAAACGTCCCCACCTTTAGAATGAAATACCGCTGGTTAAATAGCAGGTTACACAAAGCACACAGTGATTACCTGCAAAATGCTAATGTGTTGTGCGAGGCTTGTAGACGCAATGCGCAAAATCAATGTCACATGCAAATTTGCGTACCTCGTGATCATGTCTTTGTTATAAACGTTATATTGCTGATTGGACATGCAAATCACATTACTTTCAATAGCTCAAATGCTCCGGATGTCACTGACCTGTAATGCCATTAATGCTGCATATTTATTGTTTATAAGTAAGATATTTTGTAATCTAGTTTTCATGACGTCAGTTTGGTAACTAAATTAGTGGCAAGTTGCAACAGGTGTTAAAACTACAAATCGTAGGAGGATATTGATGAAGTGAAATAAAAATAAATGCGATTGATGTAACATTCTACACCCCCCCCCCCTCCCTCAACGCGCCCTCTCTCCCTCCCCCATCAGTTCAATAATTCCCTAATGACCTGTCGTCATAACCCATCAAAAGTTATTAATCAATACCCGTAACCATCAAAACTTTATTCATCTTATTATTATAATTCACACGCAAATATTCCACTCTGTGTCAGAATGTTTATACAAGGATCAGCTAAATCCTGTCAAATCTCGTCTGAATGGGTACAAGTACTTCCCCATAAATTTACATATGTTGCCGCGACCATTGTTCGCGTAAACACACCTGTGAATGCATCGTTGAGCGGCTATGGGTCACATAGAGGTATGGGCATACAGCCACACGGGGCCTATGGTCGGCGTGTGAAAGACACGTTGAGTTACTTGAACATATTGAGCAGAACATAAAGAAGCGATATGACCTAGATAGACGCTATCGTATGAGCCAGGTTACACACACCTTGCCTTAGGCTCTCTACCAGGCACATCATAAATGTTACACTCTTGCTTGAAACGCTAGCCGTGTAGACGTGGTCATGTAAGTTATCAAGACTCGAGTATGCATGACGATACTTAATATGCATGCTATCAAATGCATGGATGCGTTTGTAGTTCGCTGTTTATGCATCCCCATGTGTGAGCATGAGTGGAATTTATCTTATCTTAATAATATTTTGTTCTGGGCAGAGTGTGGAGAGTGAAGAGACGTACTCCCTGTTGCATGCAACAGATGGGATCCGATACAGTGTTAGACAAGGCTGACTTGTGATAACAGCACTGAACAATATTTAACGCATTTAAGAATTGATTTAATTTTGACAAATTTTGTTGAAGAGAAGTTTCTTAATCTGGAAATGTCTGTTGCGAACATGGCTGCTTTCGTTACTTTTTCCAGACATGCTTTTTAATTATTCATCCGGACCATTGTAATATTGCATGTATTATGTGAGAATTGGTAATGCGTTCGTGATGAGGATGCGTCATACCTAGGAATGCATTTCATATTTACTAAGGTACAGCTCTGACGTTGTGCATCATCCATTGACATTCTTTGTTCCCTGGTGTATATCAACATATCTACATTTCACAGCAGTGTGAAGGCTGAAGGAACAGCTTGGTAGACACATGTGTGATGTAACAATCAAAGAATTATAAATAACTTCACATTATTTCCTCATAACATCATCATAATAAATACACCACCTGGTAATCAGAATTCATTGAATACCTGTGCATGTACAGCTACAGTTGAATTCAGGGCTGTTAAACGTATGCAGAAAAGTGGGCGTGGCTTTATAAGTCTCTACAACTATACCACGTTGTGGCGAGGGCTTGTTCGGGCCGGCTTTGTCAATGAGTGGAGTTTACAATAGTTAATTGTAGTATGTGTGGGTGAGTGTGTGTGAGTGTGTGTGTGTGTGTGTGTGTGCACTCGCTGGGTTGTAAAAGAAGAGCAAATAAAACATGAGTACTTACTGTCGCTGGAGGTTGTCAAGTTGGTCTTGGAGGCTGCTGACACGAATCTCAAGTCGGGACTTCTCCTTGTTGGTGTCATCAATAAGTTTCCTAGCTTCATCCAACTCTGTTTCGTACATAAGCTTAATCTGATTGGTTTCCTTCCCCCACTTGGATCTGAGGGCTTCCAGCTCGTTGCCCAACTTTTTGTTCTGGGCCTCCAAGAAACGGACCTTTTCAATGTAACTTGCAAACCTTTCGTTCAGATCTTGCATATCCTTCTTTTCTCTCTGCCGGGTGGTTCGGACACTACCCACCCCGGTGGCAGAGATGGTGCCATAGGCGCCTGGGTTTGAAATGAGCCCCGCAGAAGACGACATCTCCACAGAACGACTGTAGCCAGTCTTAGGGGAAAGGACGGAAGAGAGAGAGGTACGGTTGATTCCTCCAGATCGTGGCCCGATGTTAGACTTATAGGATCTAGTGTAGCTCTCTGGACCATCATCGTATGATGAAGAAGAAGACGTAATGACAGTTCTCTTCTCTGTGATCTGCGACATTTTGAATTTCTGTCGTCTGCTCTTTTCCTTCGGCCCTGCTCACGCTCTGTCCGATTGCCCGCTGTGTGTCACTGTCGCAGCTCGAGTATACTGAGTGTGTCTGCCTGGCCTGCTATTTCACCTGAAGCAGCATAATGTATTATAGAGCAAAATCCCACCCGCGGAGGCTACGGGCCTGTTGATTGGTCGTCGCTATGTCACATGGTACCGGCTTCGCTCGGTCGCGTTTAGTGCAGGACACGAGGTCGGGAATTGACCTCGAGCTGTTTTCACCTTAAAAACTTCTATATATGGATGAAAGAAAATCTACAGCATATGTCTCTCCTGCCTTACCTGTTCTGCAGCCCCGAAAACCAGCCCTGCCACAGAAATCAAACACAGCCTAGTCAAACTGATCGCTAGCAGACGACATTTTGAACGAGCAGACGAGCAATGAAAGGGAAAGCCGAGTGCGTTTGTCAGACAATTCTGGACGGTTGTTAATCACTGGCTGCTTGGGAGGATCTGAGACCCGGAATCGTTAACATCCCCTTTCTCGAAAAATCGCTCTTTACTAGACGTAGCCGACATGTTAAGATAAACACTCTAACCCTCTGTTATTTTAGGACACTTTGTCCATCGTTTCAACACAATCAGTAAACAAAAACCTTCACGCACTAAATAACCATTTTGTCATTTATGACACAACCTGATAGGACAATAGCCCATGTAGTATTTAAACATACAAGAGTCAATACAACGTACAGCATTTCTAGATGTAGGAGTATCTCAAGGCCTTAATGCAGCAAACCCTCGAATGCACGGACCCTCTTTAGAGCGGAAACCCTATTTCCGGGCAATTTCTGTTGGGGCCGTGTATACATAATTTCGTTGATATTGATGCTTATTCTTGATTAGTGTATCCCGACGTGTTAATCCAGACGAAAAATATTTCTGTTTTTGCAAAACGAAACCTCGGTAAATCGTACTTTACTCACTCGATACATCGTTAAAGCCGACGTCACTATTTGTATCAACACAACAGGCTTAGATTTTCAAGTCTATGGTCCCGAGGAATTCGAGATTTTTGTTGTATTTGTTGATATATATCGATCAGTCAACATGAACAGCATATTTTGTTTCATCTCACAAATAAACAAATCAATTATGTAATACTATGTAAATATTATATGCACATAATGAAGATAAAAACGTGTTTGTAACCGAAGTATTTCGTTTAAGTAAATATTATTTGCACCAAATTGTTATTGTTTGCACAAAATGAAGAAGTTGTTTCCTGTTAGTAGCAATATTTCGTTTAAGTACAGCTGGGTCGGGTCAACGAATCAAATGACCTGCTACACTGAAGGATTTATTGGGTATGCAATAAAATGCTTTCAACGGGAATAATTGTGATGACGACATAATGTACGCCACGTGCTGCACGCTGTGAAAATAACGATTCTCTGATTGCATTTCCAGTTAAAAATCAACCCCGGGATATATTGATTGAATACTTGATACGTTTGCTGCTGATGCTTGCGATAGAGTTGGGAGTAATCAACGATATGACTTCAATGTGTAAGATGTACATTGCGTAATGTGAAACCCCCTTAATCCGAACTGTGACGTACATACTGAAATTGTCCTGATTAACATACGTCCAGATTAACGAATATCCTTAATGACTCGTGTCATTTTGTAAGCTTGAAAGACTTCACAAATATAATCGTAGGTTCGGATTAAAGAGGTCCGCATTAAGTTATATTGTAAATAATACCGACAAAATGCATGTCCATAATCAAACGAAATTAAAAGCAGAGTTAATTGTGCGATCTATACTTATATATTTATATACTATATGTGTTTATGAATCCCAATCAAATAGCGTTGATACTAGGTGTATGTTGTGTTGATTTATAATAATTAGAAATGTATTTGAATACAAAGTATTTAATTAGATTATACATGTATACATAAATAGATCATATATCACCAACGAATATAGCTCATTCAAATGTTACAAATCTCTTTCAATGTCAAACACCTCAGATCGTTTCTAAACCCTCTCGTTAGAGACCAACAACAAAGACGAGAATCCAATGAGCTGAACGAGTCCGAGCATTCATAGGTCTACTTGACCTGGGGCAACACAGATTATCTGCTCAAAATACGTCTTGAAGATTTGTTTACAAATTCCCAGCAATATTTCACGAATGAGTAGGACGACTGGTTAACTGATAAGGCCGCGACCTTGCTAATTGTGAGCCTTGAGTACAGGAGCGTGTTCTGACCCTAAATCCGCATAAATCAGTGAGATCCTATTTATTATGATGTAACTGGATAAGGGCTCGATTAGTCGATAAGCGTTTAAACGAATGGTTCGTTGGTGTCGAAGTTAGGACTTAAGACTCCGATTCATTTTCATCCTTTAGACGATGACCTCTGCATTTCACAGTGAGTGAGTGAGTGAGTATGGTTTTACGCCGCTTTTAGCAATATTCCTGCAATATCGCGGCGGGGGACACCAGAAATTGGCTTCACCCATTGTATCCATGTCGGGAATCGAACCCGGGTCTTCGGCGTGACGAGCGAACCCTTTTACCACTAGGCTACCCAACCGCTCCTGCATTTTACAGATCACAGTCTCTTTAACAGAACCTGTTTCAGTTTGTTCAGTTTGTTGTCAAGCATGAAAAATGTAAAAAAATGGTCCATTTTTTAGCATCATATTATGTTGTTTATCATAAATAACCAACGTCTGATCATCACCTTGACTCACATTTTTATTCATGAGATACGCTGGAGGTTGTAGGTTCCAATTGAACTTTATATTAACAATTGCTAGTGATAATGCAGAGTTGTGTCCCTTTGCTGTCAGGATCTGCTGTTTGTAGGGTTGGATCCATGGTCTGTCAGCACCTGCCCTGTTCGATGGCGGCAAACGTTTACGTCATGAGACTCCCTCCGACGTTTCAATTGAGTACGTTGGGTTTAACGCGCGTGTTGCAGTAGTTCCTATGTGTTGTTAGATTCTGTGAGGGGTAAACCCGAAGTGATAAAAGATTACATCTTCAGAATGAAAAACCAGGGGCGGTCGGGTAGCCTAGTGGTTAAAGCGTTCGCTCGTCACGCCGAAGACCCGGGTTCGATTCCCGACATGGGTACAATGTGTGAAGCCCATTTCTGGTGTCCCCCGCCGTGATATTGCTGGAATATTGCTAAAAGCGGCGTAAAACCATACTCAGTCAGTCAGAATGAAAAAACAAGAATCGTCAGCATGGCGAATCTCGAATTCGACTCAAGCGAGTTCTGCACAGCGAATTGCGCCGCCCGAGACAACAAAGCTAACATTATACTACCGCCACCTTGTGCGTTAAACAAAGCCTTACTTGCTGATTTGTTTTGAAAAGGGTTTAAAGTATCGATTTCCTGGATTGATCATTTCTGCTTGTGAGTTGATATGATACATGTGCGTCAATCATTTGTTTTTCATGGAACATAATAGTCCATTCAGACCTCAAAATAGCATTTATATTTGGCTGAACGAGACAAAAAACTAGATTTAGGAATCAATATCAGGATATTTGCAAGTTTTCATGAATCCCAAATGTGAAACAAACATTTTTTTTCAGTTTCATAATTATCGTATTTTCCTTTTGTGTTAGCAAGTGCAAAATGTTTGTGCATTTATTCAATATGAAAACTTACATATATCATGAACAACATTGACGTCAACGATGGATGAGAAACACAATTTAGTTTTCTGCTGTTATTGAATAGGATTTAACACTTTGTTTCATGGTATTCGAAGCAGAAAGTCACAGCTAAAATATGTTTTCTTAAAACATTTGCAAACTGTGGTATTCAGAAAAGTGGTATTGATAAGTGTTCATCATATCTTCGGTGTGATTTCTACTGAACAGAAACTGCGGTTGTCAAGGAAACATCTGTTGTTTGATGACGTCATTGTATAGTGACGTCATTCTGTCCTAGTTAAAAACACATACAAAGAAAAGGTTACGGAAAAAGACCGATAACTTTGAATCATATTTTATTATTCAAGTTATGTGTAAATATATATTGGTCTGTTTTATAACATCAGACTTGTAAGGTGGTTTTCAAGCTTTATTAACTCTCTCTGATCTCTTGTGGATTCAGAAGCAGACAATGAAATGATCCCCGGCAACCTAATGTACAGTAAATTACGTTTATAACGAACACGGTTATAACGAACTGACGGATGTAACGAAATGTGTTTTGATCCCGCCCCATTGCTGTATATTTGCAGTATATATGCTTATAACGAACTACGGTTAAAACGAACTAAAATAACAGGTGCCTTTGAGTTCGTTATAACCGTAGTTTACAGTATGTTGGTTGTAAGAGGCAATTAAAGGGATCGGGAGATCAGGCTCGGTGACTTGGTTGATTGCGTGTCATCGTACCCCGACGGGGGAATCGTTGCTCATAATATCAATCACTTGATTGTCCGAACCAAACTCGATTATTTAGAGGCCGGCGTGATATAAGGTAGGATATTGTGAATCTAGCTTAATACCGCTGGGGTATTGTTCAGTGCGGCGTTAAACAACAACAAACAAATGGTCATACTATCAACCACTAGTTGCCTGGTCCAGTCTTGACTATTTACGGGTTGCCATCCTACAGATGGAATATTACTGTCTGCGGAGTAAATCGATGTCATTTATTCAAGTTTCAATATAAATCCTGAATTATTGGTTGCTCATAACGCGGTTGTCCCTGAAACAAAGCGATTTTGTTTCAATTTCTATCATTCATATAATTACTAAGGTATTGACATGAAAAATATACTGCCAACATCCAATACATTTGTCCGCCCTAAAAGACAAAAAGGACCTTATCCAGACCATAAACTTACATATCAACCAACTGTTGAAGAAGAGGCAACGAGTGAGTGAGTGAGTTGGGTTTAACGCCGCTTTTAACAGTATTCCAGTTATTTCACGGCGTGTCAGTTTAATGTGGGAGGAAAGCCTGAAGTGAAGCAGGTCTCAGACCTTTACCACTTCGGTGAAACCCACGAGCACGGGAATGGTGCTGACAAACCTAGAAACATAATCGGGGCAAACCGGGATTCGAACCCACAATCATAGGTTTCTGGCGTGGCCAAG